TAAAGCTAACTTCCTCCAAAGGCGTCCGCTCTTCTTTCTACTCTTGGGTTTCCTGTCTTTCTGTGACCCGGCAGAAAGGTTGGGCCCCAAGGCCCCTGCTAGGCCAAGGAGATACCAGAGGAATCCCAAAAGAGCAAAAATGTTTCCCTGCGGAGGAAGCTAATTAAAAACGACAAAATATCGAGCCTAAAATAAACATGGAATAAAATTAGTCATATTTAATAAAACATAAAACATTTTTATATACAAAAAAAACTTACTTGTATAGAAGATGTAATAGTTGTTTGGTCCTGATCCAACTGCAGTGTAGCCTTTAACTCTCACATAGTATTCGGTAGCAGGGGAAAGATCCGTGAAGGCTATAGACGTGTTATTTGTTTTTATTTCTCCCCTATATCTGTCACTGTAATAACTGTAGAGATCTACTATATACCCCAGAAGAACACCATGGGCATCTTTTCTCGGGATTTGTTGCCACTGAATAATTGCAGTATTTAATGTGATCTCAGTGGAAGTAAGTCCTGGCGGTCTAGACCTTGGAACTAGAGAATAGAACCAACAAAATGTAATACATATGCAATCAAACATTATAAACCCTTTTAGCGATCTTTTTTTACGCTGGGTTAGCCTCAAAACCATGTAATAAATTATTTTATTCACAGCAGCCCGTGTAAATGAGAGAGATCTGAGAGTGCAGAAGAAAATGGAAATAGTTTGAAATCTCACGAGTTTTATCTATATTTCTGAATATTTTAGCACACAATTGAGGCTAACACAGCGTAAAAGAGATCGCGAAACTAAACTATTGTGTAATATAAATCTCGAAAACTAATCAAAAATCGTCTGTAGTCTCTGTAGTGATTCTCGTCGTCCAAGCACAGCAGCCGGTTCTTTAGAGTGAGAGATTGCGAAAAAGAAAGCTCGAAGATAAGAAAGGGGAAGTAAAAATAGAAAAGAAAAAAAAAAGCACCAAAAAAAGTAGATAGAAGGACCATAAAGGGAATTATCGCCCGATGTACTAAAGAGAATACGGAATCCAGTAAAACAGCTTTGGAATCCGGAATCCACTATATTTCGAAATCCAAAAAACGCCATTTATTATCCGGAATCCAAAAACAATTTTTTTTTGGAATCCGGAATGTTTCGGAATCCGGAATTCAGCGCTTGGAATAAGGAATCCTCTAGTTT